ACAATCGCCAAGATTTGGAAGGAACTGAAGTATCTATCTGTATATGAGTGGATAAAACAACTATGACATATTTATACAGTGGAATACTACTGAGCCATAAAAAGAAAATTTAATCTTTTGCAACAGCATGGTGAATCTAGAGAACATTATGATAAGTGAAATAAGCCAGTCAGAGAAAGACAAATGCCATATGATTTCACTCATATGTGGAATCTAATGAATAAACTGAACTAAGAAGAAAAGTAGAAACAGGCTCAGAGATAGAGAGCATGTGACAGCTGTTGGGAGGAAGAGGTCAGGTGGTGGAGGGATTGAGCAAAAAGGAAAAAGGACTCACGGACATAGCAGTGTGGTGATCATGGGGGAGAGAAGGTATACGGGCACTAAATAGTAATGAAAAATTATACAATAAAAATAATAAAAATAGTTAAGATAAAAGTCTTTTGAAAGTTATAGATCTGTGGAATCAACATTCAAGTTGCGATGTTACTGAATAAAAACAAGTATAAGGGTGCTCTTTGGTTTTCATTTCTGTAACATCATCTACCCAAGTACGGATCTGTGTAGCCAGAATTCTAGAAACATCCAGTTCTTGGGCATCATGGCTCAGAGGAATTTCTGTACAGTTTCTATTTGCCTGAAAAATAAATCATACGGTAATTTTTCAATAATAAAGCATAACATGTATATGGGCTACTTTTGAAAATTAAAACTACAAAATAGCTTTAAGAAATGATAGCTTTAAGGTAGAGAATATATAGCATTCTTAAAAATGAATATTTTAAATTAATTTTAACAATTAAATTTTGAGTGTAATAATCATCAGCTTGAGCTTGGGGATACATTTTTGTTCTAAGAATTCAAGAACATCCAACAGAAAGCTAGCTACAAGTGGTAATGGATGTTCTACTTTATTTCTTCCAGCACTGCCTCTCTTGTATACTAGAATGGTACAGTCTCTTCAAGGTTTACATAGTTTAGAACTGGGGAGGGAGATGTTGATGGAGACAGGAGTCCTGGAAGGTAGAGAAAGATGAAGGAGATAAAGAACACGAAAGTAAAGAAAGCATGGTGAATTATTCAAATAAGATAATATCACCTTCGCCTAAAGCCTTTCAATCTTAGGTGAGAAAAGTGGAATTTGGACTTTCAGCCAAGATGGAGGTGTGGGTAGATACACCTTGCCTCCTCACATAACCAAAAGGAGAACAACAACAATTTGAAAAAAACCCAGAACCCAGAAAATTGAACCACATGGAAATCTGACAACCAAGAAGTTAAAGAAGAAACATTCATCTAGACTGGTAAGAGGGGGAGAGATGAGTAGCTGGGGCAGAGAGGTTGTGTGGCAAAGCAGCGGCTGGTGGACCCGATGGCACCACATTTGCATGCCAAGACGCATCATAGTTAAATTACCCAAAATTAAAGATAAGGAAAGAATTTTTTTGTAAGAAGTGTTTTTTTTTTTACATTTAAATTTTTTTACATTAAATTTTTTTAATTTATCTAATTATTGTTCAAGTACAGTTTTCTGTTTTTTACTCTCATCCCAGTCCACCCCCCCAGTGCCCCCCACCTCCCTCCCATTTCCACCCCCCTTAGTTGTTGTCCATGTGTCCTTTATACTAGTTCCTGTAAATACTTCCCCTTTTTCCCCTGAAATTCCCTCCCCTCTCCCCTCTGGTCACTTTCCCCCTTTTCTCTATTTCAGTGTCTTTGTTTTTATTTTGCTTATTTGTTTTGTTATTTAGCTTCCTATTAAAGGTGAGATCATATGGTATGTGTATTTCAATGCCTGGCTTATTTCATTCAACATAATACTTTCCAGTTCCATCCATGCTGTTGCAAAGGGTAGGAGCTCCTTCTTTCTTTCTGCTGCATAGAATTCCATTGTGTATATGTACCATAATTTTTTGATTCATTCATTTACTGATGGGCACCTAGGTTGCTTCCAGCTCTTGGCTATTGCAAATTGTGCTGCTATGAACACTGGGGTGCTTAAAAGCAGCAAAAGGAGACAATTACCTACATAGGAGTTCCCATAAGACTCTCAGCTGATTTCTCAAAAGGAACCTTGCAGGCAAGAAGGGGCTGGAAAGAATATTCCAAGTCATGAAAGGCCAGGCCCTACATCTAAGATTGTTCTATCCAGCAAAGCTATCATTTAGAATGGAAGGGCAGATAAAGTGCTACCCAGATAAGGTCAAGTTAAAGGAGTTCATCATCACAAAGACATTACTATATGAAATGTTAAAGGGACTTATCTAAGAAAAAGAAGATGATCAATAATATGAACAGTAAAATGATAGCAAAGTCACAACTATCAACAACTGGACCTAAAAATAACAAAAACAAAAACAACTAAGCAAACAACTAGAACAGGAACAGATTCACAGAAATGGAGATCATGTGGAAGGTTATCAGTGGAAGTGGGGAGGCAGAAGGATGGAGGTAAAGGTACAGGGAATAAGAAGCATAAATGGTACGTACAAAATAGACACAGAGAGGTTACAAATGGTATAGAAAATGGAGAAGCCAAAGAACTTATATATATATATATGACCAGTGGACATGAACTAAGGTGGGGGAATGCTGGTGGGAAGCAGGGTACAGGGCAGTGGGGAATAAAGGGGAAAAAATAGAGCAACTGTAATAGCCTCATCAATAAAATATATTTAAAAAAAAAGAAAAGAGGAATTTGGGAAGAGATTATAAAGAAAAAGTGTAGGGGTAGAAGCCCTGGCTGGTGTAGCTCAGTGGATTGAGCACGGGCCTGCAAACCAAAGGATCGCAGTGCAATTCCCAGGCAGGGCACATGCCTGGGTTGCAGGCCAGTTCCCAGCAGGAGATGCATGAGAGGCAATCATACATTGATATTTCTCTTCCTCTCTCCTTCCCTTCCCTTCTGAAGGTAAATAAATAAAATCTTTAAAAAAAAGTGTAGGGGTAGGGAAAGATGGGGGAAGTATGCCAAATAAGATCATAAGTGAAAGGTTGGTCAGATTAAATGATATACAATTTTAAACATCTATGAGTTAAAAATTTACATCTCTAAAGCAGGAAGTGGAAAGATATTGACAGCAGAGAGAAAAGTGGATTAATATTCCATCATTATATAAAATGCTAATACAAACTAATTAGAAAATAACTGAGACCCCAGAGACAGATGAAAAAAGGATGTAACTAGACTTCTGGGAGACAATTCTTCCTGGGTCTCTTCTGGGTATCCTGTTAGTGAGTCACTGACTGCCCTTTGTTCCATAGCATCACCTCTAGGAGGTCTATACGGCTATAGCCTCTCCTTCCATATCTAAGGGCAGGTATGCTCACTATCATTACAAAAGATCTGGGCTCCCTAAACTCAGTGTTCCTCTCCTGTAATGCAAACCACTTTGTGTGCAGGCATCATCTGGCCCTCGCCCTGTCGTTTTGGATATATAGCTCCAGAACCAGTGCAAAAATACTACCACTTTTGCTACTAGAAATAAACTCTCCTTTGTCAATGGTCTGAGAGTCTTGGGTCTTTTAACAGCCTCCATTAAACAAGTTAGCTTTAATGCAGAGGAATATCTCAGATCCTTCACAGTTTTTGATACATAATCCACAACTAAACAAATGGGAAAAGTTCAATCTCATTGGCATTTCTAAATACTGCAGGTAAAGCAAAAGGTATTGCTATTACACAGTAAATGACAGACTTTGTGTATGTAGATGATTGTTCATTACTAGATGCTTATATACATTCTTTCCCCCAAAGAGCAAAATGCTAGTTTTATAGCAAAGAACATTTAAAATCATATTTTCCTCAGGGGAAGGAAGGTACTTCTTGGGTGTAGACAGTAATTTTGTATTTGACGTGTACATTCCATATTACAACATGAGAACTGCCTGGGTAAGGGCTGCTTCTAAACGTGCCTTTAAAATTTTTTTTTCCATTACCATTTAGTCCCCTTGCACTCCTTTTCCCCTGCAATCACCACACTGTTGCCCATGTCCAGGAGTCCTTTTTCCTCTTTGCTCAATCCAACCCTAATGCCCCACCCCCCGCCTTAGCTGTCATACTGCTCTATGAGTCTGTCTCTATTTTGCTGTCTTGACAGAACTAGTCATTGTTCAGGGGAAGATCTCTAGGAGAGAAATGAGACAAAGGATACAGAAAAAGGTGAGGACAGAATGACAAAGGAACTACTTAGGATAAATCAAAGAAAAGAGATGGTCTAGAAGGATAGAAAACCTGTTTGTGAATGATTACTGAAAGGATGCCATAGGTTATACATCTAAGTATTATGTAAAACTTATTTTTAAGTTAGAAATACAAGGAAAAGAATATATAAATCCTTTAAATTAATGAAATAAAAAACAACAGTATCTAGAAGACAGTAGAAACTCTACAGTAAAGCAAACAGGAAATATAGGAGGGGAACATGATTCAGACAAATTTTAACCTTGGACCACCATGTATAAGGGCCTTGTAATAAGGCTACCTCTTTTGTGAGTAGCTCTAAGGAAGACGTTGAATAGAAGGCTAAAGAATACAAAGAAAATGGTCTAGTTCGGCAGCTATTACAGTTTAAGTCAAAGAGGGAGAATTTCTCTGAGTCACATAAGCTTAAATTTAACCTAATATTAAGACCAACATTTAATATGTTCATATGAAAAAAGTAGAAAACCTTTTATTTGGATTAACTCTTACAATGTGTTGTACGAATTCTAAACGCAATCACGTATATAAATACCTGATACTTCTATGTAGAATAAAACATTTTATCAGCTATATATTCAAAATAAAAAATTACATTATGCAACAATATAATCACTTTATAAAATAAAAATGTATTCACATTGCAATTTAGGAGTAAGAAGTAGCTTTGGGGAAAAGAAATACTGAAACTGAATAAACTGACAGAATGGGAAATGTTCTCCAACTATGAATACTTAATATCTGAAAAAAAGAAAAGTGCCTGTACTTACTTCATTGACAGCAAAGGCTGTGATGATATCAGATTCCTTATGAATAATTCTTGGTTTGTCTCCAGGATATCCCAAATCTCCTTCTATCTAAATGGAGAAAAAGAAAATGTAAAAATACAGTGATTTTAGTAATAGAATAATATATGCCAATCTGTCATTTAATACTAGCATAAATTATTTTCAGAAACTCTTTAGACATTTCAAAACCAAAAGTACTATTTTAAATGCTCATTATCTCTAAATAAAATCTATATAAGACAAAGCTAATTTTTTTCAAATTCACTTTTTTACATATAAGATAGTTGATATGTACATCTTACAACTTCATTAAATGCTTATGTTCCCAATCCATAATGAATTAGCTTTAAAGGATCAAGACAGTTTAACTATTAAAGTAAGATTTGTTTACATTTATTATTATTATAATTCTTTGATAATATTTTATAAATAACAAAGGATTAGATGGTAAATATTGTAGGTTTTATAGACCATAGTGTGTCGCTACAGCATATTCTTTTTAAAAACAACCTTTATAACAATAGAAAGATCATTTTTAGTTCAAAGCCTGTTCAAGAACTGGTTGAATATGGCCTGCTGAATATAGTTTACTGAATTCTGGTCTAAAATTTATAGGAGAAAAACCTCAACCCCTGAAAGGAACAGTAGTTTGCCCAAGGCAGTAATCATTTTAGGAGCTGAGTAAATCAAAATTCACGGTACTTAATTTTTTTAAAGATTTTTATTTATTTACTTTTAGAGAGAAGGAAGGAAGGGAGAAAGAGAGGGAGAGAAACATCAGTGTGTAGTTGCCTCCTGCATGCCCCCCACTGGTGAACCTGGCCCGCAACCTAGACATGTGCTCTGACTGGGAATCATACCAGTGATCTTTTGGTTCATAGGCCTGTGCTCAATTCACCAAGCTACAACAGGTAGCACTCAATGTACTTTAGATGAGAGAAATATATTTGACCTATGCTAACCCCAGAGGTATATTCAACACCTCTGAACTCCAAAGAGAGTGGTGTATAAAATCAGAATTACTAAAATATTTGCATATATATTTTATTACCTCTGGGTAAAAAGAGGAGGAAATGATTAAGAGTTGGGAATGTTGCTTAATGTAGGATATTTTCACATTATTTTACCCTCCCTAACCTTCAATCTTTAAAGTGAATTACTATAGGACTTCTGGCCAAGATGGAGGCATTGGTGGAAACACTGCCTCCTCCCACAACCAAGTTTAAAGACAACGAAGTTTTAGTAACAAAAATGCAACCAAAACACAGAAAATTGAACTATAGGGACGTCTGACAACAACAAACCATTTAGCCAGACTGGTGAGAGGGGCAGAGCCAGCAGCTGGTGGAGCGGAGTTGCCCAGGAAAACTCTGCCAGACCGACCCAGGTACTTGGAGGGAGATCCCAGGCGTGGGGTTGCAATGGGCAGACCCAGTGAGGGCGAAAGGCGGCTGGCTGACCGAGGTCACACATTCTCACACAGAAAAAACAGGCAAAGGAGTGAGCAGTGAGACAGACCACACAGGCCCCAGTGGCAGGAAGCAGCAGAGGAGACCGCTATTACCCCTCTTTGACCCCGCCCCCACAATAGCGTCATAACCCAGTGACCTGGATGGCCCCACCCTGGTGAACGCCTAGGGCTCTGCCCCTCATACTTAACAGGTGCGAACAGACCAAAACATTATGGCTCAAGAACTCAAAGTCCCAGAGCCCATAACTCTAAGCGACCAAGAAATAGCCAACCTATCAGATGTACAGTTAAAATGAATTACTATAAAATGTTTCACAACTTACTATGAAGTACAGAAGTTATTAATTTGACATTAGAATACGACAAATTTACTTTCTGCAAAATTTAGACAAAATATCATTGTTTGTCCATTCATTGTTTGACCACAGAACTGAGTAGGGTTAGCAGTAGTTTTAAAAATGGCAACTGAGATGAATGTATAATTGCAAAGTTAAAAGAGAATTATAAATAACCAAACCAAAAGAGCCCTCTGCAAACAAGTCATAGTCACTGGATGTAGAGATGTCAAATATATTCTAATCTAAAATATAATTTGATTACAAACATAAGTGAATTTAATTGTTCAGTAACATTTTGGCTTATTTGAGGGCTAACTACTTTTTTAAGGAAAGTGTTAGCTCTGCTATAAGAGGTGCATCAACTGATAAGAATGTAGAGAATAAGATTTTTTAATTTTATGACAAAATTCCAACTTAGCCACGTCTCTGCCTGGTATGTAGAGCCTACTAAGTGTCCACTATTGGGCTCTGAAGAAATTAAAAAGAGAAAATTATATTTCCATGAAATACTAAGATAATCTATTTGTTAATAAAGTATACAGTGAAGTATGATAAAGGGCATAAAGTAAATCAAGTAAGGGGACAGAGGTTAAAGGGTGGTGCATTTAGACAGGGCAGTGATTTTCAACAGGTGTGCTGCAAGAATTTTTAAAACATACAATACCTGACTATTTAATCAGGGGCACTGACCTCTTTTCCTTTAAATTAAAAAAAAAAAGACAATAGCCAACACAGCAATAGCTGTCTGGTATAAATTATTTTTTGTCAGATGGGCAAAAAATATATTTTTCAGTGTGCTACACAATTTTAGTAATTAGTTATGTGTGCCATGAGATGAAAAAAGTTGAAAATCACTGAGACAGGGGGATCAAAAGGTGACATTTGAGCTAAGACTGAATGAAGTGATGGGGAAGAGACAAGAAAATATTTAGGGAAAAAAGTGTTCCAGGCAGAGAGAAAAATACACAAAGGCTCTAAGCGGTGGGGTGCTTGACTTGTTAAAGGAACAGCAAGGAAGCCAGTGTGACTACAGTGGAGTAATCAGTGGGGAGAGACAGAAAATGATGCCTGAGAAGCAAGCAGGGGCTGTATATTAGGATCTTGGAGACCATAATAGGACTTTATTTAAGGGAGTTTATTCTCTGTGTGATGCATAGCCATTGAAGGATTTTGAGGAAAGGCGTGGTGTGCTCTGATGTAGATCTAAAAAGAATCATTCTGCCTTAAATGTTTGGAATAGACTGCAGTAGAGCAAGGGTGTCAGCCGGGAGACCAACGAGGAGGCTGGCTGTGGTAATCTATGCCATAGCTAATGGTGACTGTTGGTCTGGAGAGGTAGTGGTGGATGTCAGGAAGAACCATTGGATTTGGGACATATTTTTGAAGGTAGAGGCAGCAGATTTCAATAATGGCTTTCATAAGGGTCTGCAGAGGTGGGTTTCCTGCCACTTATACCAACCCATCCAAAATAAACATTCATTTTGCACCTAGTTCTATAGACTTTTTCTTAAAGAGAATCCTCCCTCTCTACCAATGCATGAGACTCATTTCCATAAAATTCGACTCTGTCCCTGAGGTCTGAGAGAAAAAGAAAGTAAAAAATAATGGTTCCTGGGTTTTGACCAGAGTAATAGGTGGAACGGTAGCCCCACTCCTGAGCCATGGTCCCTGGTAAACAGAATAGCTCGGTGGGGATCTGAAATTCCACTCTGGACATATTCAATAAAGCTGAAATGCCTCATGCCGGCCCTTAAGATATCATCATACTCAAAAAGACTCCCTCTGCGACCTAGGCTTCTGTTTGTGGTCAGGTTAGAATGTCCTTTCCTGTGCTCTCTCTCTTTCTCTCTCAAAATGTTACTTTTCAAGGCTCTCTTTATTTTATGTATGTATGTATGTATGTATGTATGTATGTATGTATTTTAGAGAGAGGAAGAAAGATGAAAGGGGGAGGGGGGAGAGAGAAAGGGAAGCGTTAATTTGTTGTTGTACTTGATTGTACATTCATTGGTTGCTTCTTGTACGTGGCCTGACCAGAGATCAAACTTACAACCTTGGCATGTCAGGACTATGCTCTAACCAAGTAAGCTACTAGCCAGGGTCAAGGTTCACTTTAAATGAAAACTTTTCCATAAGAGAAGACTTCCTCCTCCATAATCCAGGAGTGGAAAACCGGAAGCCCATAGCAGGACCTGGACTAAATTTGTAAAATCAAATGTGAATGTTTTAGACAGCACAAGCATTCTTCTTGTTGCTCAGTCATCCTTATATTGCCTTGGTCACTATCACTTTTATGTGACTTGCTTAATTCCTATAGCCATTTGAGCTTATGACCCATGACATTCTCAAACCATTTTGCTTATGTCTCTTCTATCACAGTTACACACTGGGTGTTTTATAAAAATTTGTAAATATTTTAAAAATATATTTTATTTATTATTGATTACAGTTTTCCCATTCCCCCCCTTCATTCCCCTCCACCCTGCACACCCCCTCCCACCCACATTCCCCACCTTTAGTTCATGTCCATGTCTTAAGTTCTTCTGTCCATGTGTCTTTAGCTTCTACATTTCCCAAACTATTCTTGCCCTCCCCATGTCTATTTTCTCCCTACTGTCTATGCTACTTATTCTCTGTACCTTTTCCCCACCTCTCCTCTTCCCACTCCCTTGTTGCTGTCTCTCTCTATGTGATCTCCATTTCTGTGGTTCTGTTCCTGTTCTAGTTATTTCCTTTATTTTTGCTTTAGGTGTGGTTGTTAATAATTGTGAATTTGCCGTCATTTTTTTAATCTTCTTTTTCTTAGATAAGTCCCTTTAACATTTCATATAATAAGGGCTTGGTAATGATGAACTCCTTGAACTTGGCCTTATCTGAAAAGCACTTTATCTGCCCTTCCATTCTAAATGAAAGCTTTGCTGGATAGAGCAATCTTGGATGTAAGTCCTTGCCTTTCATGGCTTGGAATACTTCTTTCCAGTCTCTTCTTGCCTGCAAGGTCTCTTTTGAGAAATCAGCTGACAGTCTGATGGGAACTCCCTTGTAGGTAACTACCTCCTTATCTCTTGCTGCTTCTAGGAGTCTCTCCTTCATTTTAATCTTGGCTAATGTAATTATGATGTGCCTTGGTGTGCTCCTCCTTGGGTCCAACTGCTCTGGGACTCTCTGAGCTTCCTGGATTTCCAGGAAGTTTATTTCCTTTGCCAGATTAGGGAAGTTCTCCTTTATTATTTGTTCAAATAAGTTTTCCACTGGTGGCT